GATAGGTTAAGTGACTGTGAAGTCCAGATGTGAAGATAGCTGGTACAGCACTTCTACCGGCCACATCAGCCATCCTCACCTTGCCGGCCTGCATGTTGCTTCTGCACGCATCTTTTAAAGGATCCGAGGTTGTAAGAAGGAGGGAACACGTAACACGTGAGCGGGCAGAGCATTCCATTTACATCAAACATCGATCAACTTTACACAGCTTTTAGAGAAGCTTTGAATTAGTTTCCGGTGGAAGCTTGTAAAAAAATTATCGGTCCATGCCCAAGAGATGTCGTGCTGTCATTTCTGCCTAAGGACATGCGACCAAATATTGATATATTAAGTCATTACTTGAGACTACAATTCTTAGTCGCAATTACTTAGCTGAGAATCAATCATGAGAGAAAGGGTGTTCAACTCCCGTCTGCTACCTAGTCCGCGTGGATTTTTTTCTAGTATCTAGCAGTTGAATGTTTAAAAAAATCATAGGTACTGTCAAAAATCTGAATTCTCAGTCAAGTAATTGCGACTAAGAATTGTAGTCTGAAGTAATGACTTAATTAAGAAATTATTTAGAATCAAGTAGTTACTTGTCTATAAATACGAAAGTGAATATAGAAAATGAAGTGAGTACCTAGAAACTTATTCATGCAACGTAATTCTTGCACAAGTAGAAGAGAAATGCATAGACAATATAAACGAGAATTAAGGAAAAACATGTTAAATATAAACAGCACCAGCATATTTAATTAATTTTTCTCCTTACTACATACCTACAACTTAAAGTTAGTAATCACATAATTGAGAAATTCCATTTTATCCCCCTGCTGGCAGAGTAAATTTTCTAAATTAATCCAAACATTAAAGGCGTTTATCATAGTACGTTATATCGCTGTTAGTTAAGTAATGTTAAAGAGATTGGAACATGTAAGCCTTGACAATTTGTTGGTAAATTATAACAATGTGAGGAATTCATTAAGTTTGCAAAATTATAATGAAGACAAGTAAGAAATAGCTTAGTTAAGTTATAATAAGGTTGCTTTATACTTCACTATTGAACCTATTTTAATTGTATAATATGTGTTATTTACAGTTCAAGAAAAAGTCACACGACTCATATAACGTATGGAAGAGACTGAAGAAAATAAGGAAAGATTTTCTTAAAGAGAAAGTAATTAACGTTGAGTTGGGCGAGATGATATATACAGCGTTTACAGAAATTCCATAATAAAACAAACTAGGGTCCATACCTTGATGTATACAAGTTGGGCTACGTGCAATAGTCAATGTTAATTGTCTGAATTAGTTAACTTATTTGATTTGGTAGCTACTAATTTGTCAACATACGAATATTAAATTTCACTGAACACATTATAACCCAGAGTTCTGATTAATATAGCTTTGGCAAGTGACTTTGCTTTAATAAACTTTTAAATGATACTTCCTTGAAACAGAGAAGCTTTTTAATAGGAATACGCTTTAGGGACTTTTTCACTTCTTTATTCATGCCACGAAAGTTTGCGTTCTTTGTACATTAACTGAAAAATTTAATTGGATTATCCAATGATAACCAATGAACCGAAAACATTGTCTAACAAAATAGATAGAAAGTGCTTTTACAAGCCAGTATACGCACTGAAGGGTCTAAAGCGTTGTCGACTAATGCAAGGGAAACCAATTCAGATAATAATAACCTATGTCTATGGGATTCTAAAAAACACGCCAAATTATCGCAGTCCAAATTAAAGTTAAGTTCAAAGGGGCATAATATAGAATTAGTTGTAGTACTACATCTTTGGACAATATAGTTTCATTCGAAACGCGAATAGCTATTATAATTAGCTGTAACAGTTGGAGTCAGTTTCTACAGGAAAATCTTAATTCTTTGTACTGTGAATATGGATGTTGGTGATTAGGCTTTCTATTAGTTACTGAGAAATATAGACAAAGTAAAATCTTTGAGACTTTTAGGTTAAAACGGGGATGAAAAATTCTATGAGAATTTCTTGATTTCTGGAAATTTAATTTAATACAATGTGAACTATAAGAATGTAACCATTTTCATAAAACTAGCTTGTCGCCGGCATGTACAGAAAAGGGTTTGGTTATTTTCCAGAATTAAAATGAAAGACCGGAAATAAACATACTTAATAGACATAATCGTTTATGTGGTATAAACGCTAAACCGACAGCAGAAAGGCGAAATGGTACCAACACTGCAAAGGAGGGAAATACTTATTCGTTTTAAGAATGATTCATGATAAAAGGCTGTTTTTACTAACACATGCTTATAAAAGTTCCAAAACTATGAAAGCGTTTATCAATATTCCAAAAAAGCAATTGTACCTGATAATGTTGGTTTGGTTGGTTACCAAATCAAGAAATGAGGTCGCAATTCTGCGACCTTGTGTTACGCAATGCGTCGGCGACGATCATGTCCACATGGTGCTTTGAACTCTTCTTTTCAATATGTCATTCGCAAGTTTCAAAGATAGAGTTCAATTGCTTAATTGCTGTGAAATATTGAAACTGAAAACGATACGCAAGAAGAAATAGAAGAAGTAAAATTTGAAAGATATACTTGTGGTTTTATCCTAGTATGGTAATGCTCCTAAAAATTGGTAATACTTTTGAAATATCAAGTTTTCCACAATAACACAAAATATTTTAATAGAAATTCACGCAAGGAAAAACTACAACCTAGTCCTTTTATTTGATGAGGAATACCTATTCCGATGATTCCGCTAAATTCTACATATAGGGAATTAATTATATCAAAATCTATTAAATAAAACTAGTTTTTCACGGGTTAATGCACGAAAATTTATTTATTGACGTTTCGCAAAAACTAGTTTTATTTAATGAGTGATGTGCGTGAAAACCTAAGAAACAAATATCAAAATCTATGTAAAACGATTAGTATAATTAATATCAGACGCGCAATTTAATTCTATAAAACGGCGTCTAACAATTTGAAATCGAGTTTAACCATGATCGTTTATGTGAGCTTTGAATCCTGCGTACGGCGGCGTAGGTAGGTAGGCGGGTTTCAAATGTAAATTTAATGTAAGTCTTAACATTGCTCACTTATCTGGAAAGTCATTAACATTTAACAACTGTCTACGGTGTGGTTGGTATTGACAGTCAAATAAGGCAATGTTCAAAGTATAATTGATTTATAAAAAGGACGATATCGATGCCGGACATTGAATAAAACATCTAAGTTAAAATATTGGCCCAAATAAAATAAAAAATATAAGCCAATTCTAAAAATTGGGAAACTCAATCTAATAATGCTTTAAGGAAGAATATTTATTCAGAAACTTCACGAATAATTCAGGTTTCATTAATGTTAAGGAGATTATAAAAAGGAGCTCTTTTACCTTATTCTTCAATTGAGTAGGTATATTTTTAGCCACATCACTTGCCGAAACCTTTTGTGAAGGCATCTTTGAATTATACTTTTATTATATATAAGCATTTAATGTGTAGTGGGCGTTTAGGCGTTTATCTGCCTTATTTACCTAACGCGTCATTTATATTTGACTTATATTTTTGTTTATTTGACTTTATATAATACAAAATACACAACAACCTTCCTCAACACACCAATAACTAACACCAGGGTATGCTAAAATGGCGACATGTGTATGAAACCTCTAAATAATGGTTTTATCAAAGATGTCTGTCTAATTTAAGCATTCAATACAAAGCTGAAAATTTTGATGATTAATTAATTTCATGGTTGTTCATTTTACTTCCCAAGATATTTCGAGTCCTTCATTTCGCGTATAATCCGCTATGCCCTGTTTCTAAAGATAAGGAAAGAAGACTGTAAAGAGTTGAATTTTATAAGATGATTGATTGCACATAAAATTTATAAATTGATAGTTTATTTATCAATCAATTTAAAATACAGACTAATATTATTTCAAGTAAGAACAAGGCTAAACTTTTACCAACTCATGTTACTTTTGCCTGGTTTCACCATTACATATTCACTGTCCAATATATTGCATACCTAAAAGTTAAAATATCCTAGCGGTTCGCGGTTCATTGTAGGCGATGCAAACATATGAATCCCATCCATCTAGAAGGACAAGGCGGAACGGTTCGCCAAAGCCGAGAACAGAAACATACGAACAAAACTGTTACAAATGGACAAAGCTAAAACGTCTAGCGATTTGTTGACACGCTCATTATTCAGCGTGTGAGCGCAAGTGGTCTAACTAAAACCTATTTAAAGTTTTGTTATTTTTGTATCTAGATTACTTTAACACGATCATAGATAAAATCTATCTGTAATTCGATGCCTAATTTCTGATGCCCCAAATGAATCTTCCTGCTAAAATGATACTTATCTGAGCTTAATTTCTCATTGGGTTGACGTTATTATTATCTTCTTTTTCGCTGTAAATTTTGTTGCTTAGCTTATTTTCTTTTATAGTGGCCACTCATTGATGCTGCTTAATCAAATAGGATTGATCAAGCTTAAATCCTGTCGTCACGTGGCATGTCCTATTGTTCTAAAAATGTAACGATATGTTCCACCTTGCATTTGACAAAGAATTTTGGGAATGGGCACGGCGGGCGTTAGAAGGCCGAGTTGAAACCTCGCCGATGCGATCTTACAACGGATGTGGGCCCACTCATCATAACACAAGAATTTAGCTTAACGAGAAAGGTAATGAGAATACTTAACAGCGTTAAAACTTTTTACAGTTCATTTAGTGATAGCATTACCATTCAAAGCTTTGGTTCAGGTAAAACTAAAATCTTTTATAGAAGCGGTAATTTTGGTCAATCATGATTTCAAATCTACATTTTTGGTAGATGCAATGTGGCGTAGGTTTATGGTATAACCAACATCTATAGGATATTGTGGCCGATTTTCAGCAGACGGGCTATTTGTTGCACCCTTTCCAGATATATGTCCAGGTTGCTAGTTGTGTATTAACCTTTTTTCTGAAATGGAATTGTAGTAGTAAAGGAACCAAAATGTTCGTACTTACTTCCCGGAGAGGACGAGCGAGAGGCTGTCCACTTTGGTGACCTTCTCGTGTGCGTACAGCTCGTGGCACTTAAGGTGTCGCACGTTGCGCATACACATCAGCACCCGCCTGAACTGGCGCCGCGACACGCGCAGCGGCTTGAACAACGCTATGTACACCTGGAACCAATGCAATTTCTTAAATTCACTCATCCTTTTTAGGGTTCCCTACCCCAGAAGAAAAAAGATGGAACCCTTAAACGATCACTTTGTTGTCCGTCGCTTTGTCCGTCCGTCTGCCTGTCGAGACTAGGGTTGCCAGGTCGCCAATATTTTATGTAAAAGCGACCGACAGTCAACTCGCTTGCGCTCAGCCACGCTCGGCGCTCGCTCGTTTGTGAAATGTAAAAAGCTTAACAAAAGCCGGTCAGGACGGACACCGTTTATTTTGCCCGGATAAGCAATCATAAAACCTAAATATGGCCGGCTTTATCCGGACGCCTGGCTAAGCTAGTCAAGACCCTTTACCTCAGGAACGGGTGGAGGTGTTGAGATGCAATTTAAGCATATACTCAGGTTTACGATCCCTTTTATAGTTGTGAAAAAAATCTAACTTCTAAATTAACGTATAAAAGAGATATGGCCGTGTATGTTCATCATTATCATCAACCCATGTTCGTCCACTGCTGGACATAGGACATAGGAGACCGTGTATGTTACGTACCTATAAATGTGTACGGAACCGTCGATGGGCGAGTTCGATTTTTTATCAGGTAAGTCTGCTCTATCTTAAACCGAGTCATCATTTATCAATTAGAAGGATATTTATGAGTATACGTCTTTAAATTTAGGAACAACTTCCTTGAACTTTCTATAAACATTAGGAACAGGAACTCCGACTTCATCAACTTGCTGGCTTGGTCCCAGTACCTCTATCCTGTGCAGTTCTGACAATTTCACTATGATGGGTAAGTTCATAAGTGGATTATTTATAGTAAAAACCTGCAATATGTTTCATAACTTTGTCATGAGGCAAGCGAATAAATCCACCCCACTATATTTTTGATGTTATGGTCACGAGCATAATATCGCTAAGCTGTTGGTTGTCGACATTATATATTTGTATCACAGGTTAACCAGCTGCCGTAAATATGTTATTCATAAGATTAGCAATTAAACTTTAAAGCTAGCCAAGTCACGATTTTGCTTCACAATTTAATGTTAGTTAAATACTAAATATTTCCATTATGAATTCACCTTTCTCAGATGTTTTGCTGTTTGTATTAAATATTAAAAAATATTTTGACACAGGAATCGCTAATTAATAAATACTTCCAAGAATTGAATTGTGTACAATAAGCTACAAAAGGTACGACCAAGCAAATTTGTAAAACAATGAGGTAATTAAAAAAATGTGAGTCAAAACACGATCCCGTTATTAATAAACGAAATATAAGCTTGGATTAGTTATTCCATATTTTGTCTCTTTCCATTGAATTACAAATGTCATTAGAGTGATATGAACAAAAACACGGCGTAACTAGTCTAAGCTTATTCCTCGTTTATTAATAAAGGGGGTAAATAATGAAGAATGAATACATAAGAACACAACACCACAGTACTGGACTGGATAGTCACTCAGACAGGACGCTTCATCACACCGACCGTTGAGAGTACAAGTACCGTAGATGTCAAGTGCAGGTAATTAAGCCACTAAATCACAGTGAATGACTTTTTGACGGGATCGGGAAGCGTCACTTTAGCAGTTTTGTTTTTCTTGTTAAAAATTGTGTTGTGGCGGATGTTAGTGTCTAATAATGGTGGATTATTAACCACTAAGTGTTCGGGAACATGCACAAGTGTTGGCAAGTGAAACAAAATAGCGGAAAGTGTCTTTCGACGTTCCCTCAAGGAGTCCACGGGGAGGTTCCAGTAAATCCCCACACTTTTACTGAAACATAGGGAAAGGGGTTTGACTTGACTGCCACTTACTTTGACCTGATTTATTACTTTGACCACGAGTGCTATAGAATTTGTAAACATTTTAAAACTTGACATTGGCTAAATGCACAAACCGTGCGAAGCCATATAAAAAAAAAACAAATCACTGTGAATCCTGCAAATACGCAATAGGGGTAATATTATGAAGTTTTGACTGTGCCAAGAGCGAAAACCTTTGATTTACGGCGTGAATAACCAGCGACTCAAATCAGAATAGCTAATTTCCAAATCGATTGTAAACTAGTAGAAATTCTGCACAATTGGTTTAATTTTAACTTTTTTATCTATATATATAAAAATGAAACCCGTTTTCCGTTGTCACGGCATAACATGAAAACGGCTTGACCGATTTGGCTGATTTTTTTTTGTAGTTTTCTAATACTCTGTACAAGGTTCTTACGGAAAATAATTTTGATCAATTCTACCCCCAAGGGGATAAAATAGGGAATGAAAGTTTGTATGAAACTTTGTCAATTTTAAACCGATCGGGCTGAGACTTTGCATGAAGAATCATAGATGAATGTCATTATGTATAATACAAGCCTGAGAACAAAAACTGTAGTCTACACTTCAGCTCTACACCGAAGCGAAGCGAGGGCGGGCCGCTAGTAGTAATATATTTTTACAGTTTAAATGTCGTGACAAACTTAAAGTAACTTAAGTTTAGATATCCAGTAAAAATGCTATGAAAATATCTCTAAAATAGAGTAAATAATTAGCGTGCAAATATAGACACGACATTTGTTAGAGCTATTATGACAAAATCAACAAACAGAGATATCCACTGAAACATAATGATAGTGCGTGCTTCATAGTCGATGATAACAGTGAGTCTGTACTTATCGCTTTTGCTTTGGAAAGTACGTAACATCGTATGAATGCACTCGTTACATTACAGTCCAAAGAATTCTGAGAATTACATCTGCGCGAAAAGAGATGATTACCGTACCAACGAAACAAGGTTGCCTTATTTACGAGTGTTCGTGTCATGGAGGTTCATTTGTTTTTATGTCAGAATGATGGCAAATAACCATATTACTCGCATGATTGAAGCTGCTTGATGGTAATAGGCCTATAGATGCAAGCGGTACCAAATAATGCAAGTATCGATTGTGTTGTCAACTCAGATCCAATGTCATTAGCTAATAATTACTGTTATTTGCCTACTATCTGCGTTGGACGCTCCAAGTTAGTGTTGCCGATCGATAGTCGACTATCGATGATTAATCGATAGTCTGTCGATAGCCAACCAATCGTATGATAATTGATCGGCTTATCGAAAGTATCGATAGCACAGAAAAAGCCAATACTATCGGATGAGTTAAATACTATCGATACTTTTGAGAGCATTGTAGTTCGTTAATAACAAACTATCGATAGTATCGATACTGTCGATTTTATTTGCAACCATACTATAGTTTAACAATTTGCAATAGTATTGTTTACAATTACATTCAGGTATTATAGTCTATCACAAAATTTAGTCTAAAACAATCGCTAGCATCGATACTATCAATAGTTTGTTATTAACGAACTACAATAGTATCGATAGTATTGCACTCACAGAAGAATTATATATATAAAGATTCTTCTGTGAGTGTGTATGTCACTGAACTTCTCTTAAACGACTGGACCGATTTTGATGAAATTTTTTGTGTGTGTTCAAGGGGATCTGAGAATGGTTTAGATTCACAATTTTGTCCGCTGGACAACCCCTATTTTTTTAGGGCGGTGCGAAGTTCGCTGGGTCAGCTAGTCTATATATATAAAACCCAAAGGTGACTGACTGACATAGTGATCTATCAACGCACAGCCCAAACCACTGGACGGATCGGGCTGAAATTTGGCATGCAGGTAGATGTTATGACGTAGGATTTTGATCAATTCTACCCCCAAGGGGATAAAATAGGGAATGAAAGTTTGTATGAAACTTTGTCAATTTTATACCGATCGGGCTCAGCCCGTATGCCCGTACTTTGCATGCAGGTATGAGAAGAATCATAGATGAATGTCATTGTGTATAATACAAGCCTTAGAACAAAAACTGTAGTCTACACTTCAGCTCTACACCGAAGCGAAGCGAGGGCGGGCCGCTAGTCAGAATTAAAGCAACTTTCGCAATGGTCGGTCATTGGATGAATGACCAAAACATACTATGAGCTCCTCCGTGCTCCGTGCACGTCAAGCTGTTGGTCCCGGCCGCATCTGCGGTCATAAGCACCCACTAATCAGCAATGAGCACGCGTGGTGGGTTATAGGATTTCGCACGGGCCCAAAGGGGAAAAATGAAACTCCATTGCTGTCAATCTGTCGTCCGTCTTCAGAGACCCGTGAACGATGAGTTACAGAACTGAAATTTTGGTATTTTATGTAGAATGACTCATCAATGTCTAGAGATCGTTGAGTAGAAAATAATATTTTTGTATTTTTTTTTTATTTTCAATAACAAAGAAATGTCAAAGTTGTCATTTTTAGACCATTTTTGTTATGGGGTCTATCACAGAATCTAAACTATTTAAGAATCTATAATTGTATTATATGATGTCCCACATGCTGTATTTAAACAACAAATACTAAAATTGCCGATTCATAATGTACTTTGTAAGTTGTGACTAAAACAAACAAATGATTTTTCCTTTCGCGGTTTGTTGTAAACGCGATGTTTAGGAAACGAAGTCTACAGCTCTAAAATTCATATCATTATTAAGAAGTATAGAAACCATTAACAGGATAATATGGTAAGAAGCAATGTTGCTTTCAATTAAAAAAAAACTGATTTTAAGTTTTTTAGGTAAACTAAGAAACATTATCCGCAATTAAATTAATTACTGTTCTACTAAAGAAAGGGCATCCTCCTGTATTATGTGCACCGACAACTAGGGACACGAAAAAAGTATCGATACTTTGTGGTATCGAGTACTTTTCCTTTCGATACCGATACTTTTGTACTCGATACTTTGTATTCGATACTTTTACTAAATGAGTACTTTTTGGCAAGTATCGATACCTTTAAAAAATTTGGATTAGCGCCTCATACTGATGGCAACGCCATCTTGTCAAATCATAGCAAACCTTCTAAAACGTTCCATAGGGTATTTGACAAGTTTTAGGCAACGATCTCACGTTATTGTCTAATGTTTATGGAGTTCATAAAAAGTGGATATTCATCATTTTGTTGT